AGAGAATGGCATATAGGACTAGAGATTTGAAATTCCCAGAGAGCTTTTAAATATCAGTCTTGAGAGAAAAACCTGTAATGTAATTATATCCAAACTTGTCATTTTTGTGAGTTCCACAGATAAGAGTGTAAACATTCACATTTAAAAGTACCCTTTTTTATCCACCATTAATTTTCCATCTGAGATGTATGCACTCTGCTATATAAATACAATACTCTGAAAAGCATCTCTGCTAAGCTTGGAGGCACAGACCTTTACTCCCACCACTAGGGAGAAAAAGGCAGGTGGACCTGAGTGAGATGGAGGCCAGCCTGGTCTCCATAGTGAGTTAGAGAACACCCAGGACTTGAGGATGAGACCCTGTCTCAAAACAGAGAAAGAAAAAGGAAATGTGTGTTTTTGTGCTGAGTTCTTAATGCTGCAACTTATAGCCTAGAAAATCACTTTATGCTATTTTATGGTATCAGATCACATATTTTCAAAGTTAGAAAAGTTATTGTAAACCTTAAAATAAAGGTGGTGGTGGCACTCGCCTTTAATCCCAGCATTGGGAAGCAGAGGCAGGTCCTTGCCAACTTGATCTAAAGAGGGAGTTTAAGGACAGCAGGGACTACACAGAGAAACCCTGTTTCTAGAGCATGGGGAGGAAGGGAAAAGAAACAAAAAGGTATTATTATATAAGAGAATATTAGAAAGCATCTTTTGAATAATTATAATAACTCAACTATATCAGAAAATGTCTACAATAATCTTTTGTATCCTTGTTCCAAGATAAGCACTATGTCCATGGATGCATGAACAAAATGATTTTTTGTTCTGGCATTTTCTTTTATTTAAGACCTGAACTCACAGCTGCCTCCCTGCCACTAGTGGAAGAAGATGGCCGAAGGTGGAGCGGCTGACCTGGACACCCAGCTTTCTGACATCAGGATGCTGCTCAAAACCCAGCTCCTGAAAGGGTACATCTGGTATCTAGTAGATAGTCACTGGTTCAAACAGCGGAAAAAATATGTTGGCTTTGACAGTTGGGATAAATGCCAAATGGGAGATCAAAATGTCTATCCTGGACCCATCGATACCTCTGGCCTTCTCAAAGATGGCAATGCCCAGTCACTTAAGGAGCACCTTATTGATGAGTTGAATTATATACTGTTGCCAACTGAGGGCTGGAATAAACTCGTCAGCTGGTACACACTGATGGAAGGCCAAGAGGCAATAGCAAGACGGTGGTAGAGCAGGGCATGTTTGGGAAGCACTGAAAAGTAGAAGTCTATCTCACAGTTTTGAAGCTCTGTGAAAATGGAAACATGAACAACGTGGTAACTCAGAGATTTAGCAAAGTGGACACAGTAGACACAATTGAAAAGGAAATAAGAAAAATCTTCAATATTCCAGATGAAAAAGAGACTAGATTGTGGAACAAGTATATGAGTAGTACAT